TCCCTATGGTTCCACATAACAACAACAAAACACAAGACTCAGTTCATCAACATTTGTTAACTCGTAGCACTGGATAATCCGGTTTCAGAGATCGATTCAGGATCTTAAAACAGTTTCCATGGTTGGATCTGTAAGATTCATCAGCACCCTCCCTATCTTTCTTCATCTACACTACTCAGAAATCCATTCCCAGGCAAAGAGGGACAAGAAGGAGAATTACCAGAAAGCGGTATAGCTGAAGAATCCACCGGAAGTGACCATGTAAGAAATCGAGCCAGCTGCAAACACACACTGGGAAATCCTCAAGACCAGACCTGTCGGAGTCCCCGGTGTTCCAGGGAAATCTCTCATCTCTCTTCTCCGGGGCCTAAATTCCGACCGAAGAAGATCCTTCGCCGATGAGCTATGACTGCTGTCACTGGTACAGGGTCGCAGGCAAATTTCAAAATCCGACCAGATCGCCGGAAAACTGCGAGCACAAAGAAAAAGGCAGGAACTTTCCGATAATCCAACAAGATCTCCGGCGAAAAAATCAGACTTTGTTGTACCCAGAAGCTGAAAAATGCGAAGTCAGTGGGGAAATTAGATGTGGAGGCCAAGGATTTTGGTGGTTCAGACTTCAGAGGGGAAGAGAGCCGACGAAGAAGAAACGTGCTTTCTTTTTGTTTATTGCAAGGCGGAAAAAAAATAAAATAGTTAAATTACAATTAGTTAGTGGAAATTGATGAAAAATGTCTGTTTTTAAGTCATGCTTGTCTTCTCTCCATGTCGGATGTGCATTATGTACATTTACTCTTTTTGAGCTGTAAAAATAAAATTATATATTGATTAAATAATAAAGAGTTATTTTTCTGAATATATATATTCATTATTTCGTAAGATGGATTCATGTGGGTGGGGATCATTGTTTTATATATTTTTTGGAAGATAGTTGCTTGTTGGTCAATTAAAGAAACTTTCAAGATTTGATTTTTAAAGACTGGAATAAATTTAGATGCATATGAATTGCCAAAAATATCTAAAATAAACTATTTAGATTATGTAGCTTCTTTTGACAAAATCTAAAATTAAAAAAGGAGATACAAACCAATAGACCGGCTCTTTGTCCGAGAGGTGGAATTATTGTTGGAGATTTCGTAAAGCAAAAGTAAACTAAAAACAGGCAGACGTCAATTACGGCAGGGAAGTTCATTACAGATTATAAAAGAAGAAAAATGCAGAGAGACGAAGTCCAAACATTTTAATTTAATTTTTTTAAAAAGAAATGTGCTCTCGTTGAGAGTCGAACTCAAGACCTCCCGCTTACTAAACGGGTGCTCTAACCAACTGAGCTACGAGAGCCGTTGACTTCGAAATTTCCAAATATTATAACAATTCCAAACCCTAAATCAAATATTGCAAGTTTATTACAAAGGAAAAGAGTAAAGATGCGTAAAAAGTAACCAGAATATTCTAAAAACTCGAAAAGGGAAGAAACTTTCTTGTTCTTTGATTGGAGGATATGGACATCCAAATCATTCGGATATTTTGGTAAATGTCTCGTTCAGTTTTTTTGCTTTGAAGACTTGTAGACTTCGTCGTATTTGTGCTTCATCGCCACGAAAATCATCAAGGCCCCAACTATACCAACTCCCTGAATAAAGAAGAACAACTATTTATATTATATATATATATATATATATATATGGTGAAGTTTTAATGGTACAAACCCTGGTGAACTTCATGAACGCCGCGTTGAAATCGCTCGGTGTGAATAACGGATTAGAGATGGCTAATCTCGCAATCTGAAAAAACCCAACAATATACAAGCCGAAAGCTTACGATGGATGATTCAGTATTATATGATATAGTATTTGTTATATATAACCTCATTCAGTTGGTCACAGAATTTTTGGCGAGATTCATCGTTGACGACAACGTTGTAAAAGTTCGTGGCCACTCCTCCATCGGCTGACACTGTCTCGTTCACGAACTGATCCGGAAGAGAGAAAGTCTCATCGATTAAACCCACCTTTTCATATGGTGTATATATTGAATCTGATTCTATATATATATATATATATATATGTATACATAGAATCAAATCTCTAACCTCTTGGAACCTTGTGTAGAACATGTTGAACTGCTCCTTGTCGTATTCGTGGTTGTAGAAATCGTACAAAATCGGGCTCACTAGTGCTTGGTACACAAGCTAATTAAACCCACGAAAACCCAAATTTGTTAAAGATCGATGAAGAAAAAAAGAATTGAAAACCCTAGAAAAAAAATTTGTAAATAAAAACATGAATATTTCAATATATATACATATATATATATTTGTAATATAGTACATACCAATATGAAAGCTCCTAAGTAGGTGCTGAAGATGAACATGATTCCTCCAATTGCCTTCATACCAATACCAATCCCAACTAAATACTTAGCCTGCAATATATATATATATATATATCATCTCGATCAATGATCATTCCATCGATCAAACTAATTACATACAAGGTTTATGATGATTAACCGATTACCTGGTTTGCTAAGAAACCGAGTTTCGGCCTAAATTGCTCGGCTGCTGACCCGCCATTCCCATCGAATCCACGGAATCTAAACGGAGACCCGAAAGCAAAGAATCAAATTTTAGCGATCGAGAATCGGTTTTTAACACGAATGGATCATATTTAGGAACTGAACTTGAAAAAAAATATATAATAAAAGATGCATACTCTTGCCAAGCAGATACGATGAAGGCGGCCGCAAAGACGACCCTTCCAAGATCGATAACGTACGGAAATTTCTCGATCTTTTTGCCGAATTTGTAGACCGGTTTTGTGACCTTATCCATATCTTTTGATCTTCAGACAACTGAAAGCTGGTCGGAGAATCGAATCAGAGATTCAAACACTATATTGATCGATGACACAAAAAAAAAAGGTGATATGTTTTTTTTTTGTAAAAGGAAGAAGAACTTGCAGATCAGTGAAGAGAAGTCGTCCAAGTAAATAAAGATCTTATATGGATCTATAGAAATTTGACTTTTTGTTATAAAAAGACCGGATCTTAGAAAAATAATTTTATTTGCCAAGAAATAATTTAATGTAATGACCAAATTAATACTTTAAATATTTGTTTTGCACAACTTGGCTCGTGTATTTAAATGATGTTCTTTAAAGAATGACTTTGGGGAAACTTCCGTTCAATTATTGTGACAACGAGGAAGAATAACGATCTCTTTCACATTTCATGACCCCGTAAGCGAGGTTGGATTGCGGTTCGGTTTAGTTTGGTTACAAAACAATTTTGTCAACAAAATCTCAATTAAAAACCGGTTTGGTTTGGTACCGTCAAAATTTATCTCGATTTGGATAACAAAGACAGTTTTCTCCATTTCGATTTAAATTTACACGTTACTATTGGTGGATAAATTTGAAAACGAAATTAAATAAAACCAGTTTGATTTCGCTCCAAAATTAAATCGAGTTCGAATTCTAATTAACAATATCATTCTCTGAAAACAGATTACTACTTTCACGTCTGCATCAAATGTTTTATTTTATTTTATTTTTTTCGTGGATATGTAATAGTTGGTCCATTTTTAGTTTTGTCTAATATTTCATTTTCTTTTATTTGGCTCTTATTTATATAAAATAACCTCGCACGAGAATAATTGTGGTCCATATATATATATATATATATATATATATATATATATATATATATAAACACGTAGAAACACATCAATACACAAATACATGCATATAGTTCCCCTCTTCATTAATAGTGCTTTCTTAGGTTTCGGACATCAAAGCAGACAAGAACAAATCTGAGGACTGAAGGTAAAAAAGGAAAGAGTCAGGTAAATTTCTAAAACAATGACTGTCTTTTCTTCAGTTCACTTTTACTGCGACGAGAAATGTAAAACCTGTCATAATGAAAAGTGACATCTTCTCAGAGTTCAGGTGCCATGTCGCCATGTCTTCAGTCGGTTTTCACTTTGGCATCTGTCTTCACTCTGTCGAGTTTGTGTTTCAGAGCGACGTAAAAGAGCAACGCTCCAACAATGGCGGAGCCCTGAAGAACACAAAACAGCAGCTCTGAATCATTCCCACAGGCTCTCTCTGAAAAAAAAAGTTGAGTGAAAACACGGTTTCCGACCTGAAGGAACCTTATGAACCGTGAGTTGAACTCGTTCTGCCCGAACAATGCAGGGCTTGTAACCGCGTGATCCACGAGCTGAGCTCGTTTTTCGTAAAACCGGAGAAAAAACAAACTCATGAGGAAATCAGTTCAATCCATGAAACCAGCATAAAGATTTTCAGAAGAGATACCTCGCGGAACTTTGAACCGACTTTCGCCAGTTCCTGATCGCTGAAATCTGATTTGTAGTAGTTGTAAGCTGTCTCGTATGAAACAGTTTCATTTACAACCTGACAAACCCGAGAAAGAAAACCGAGTTTCTACGAAGTTTATAGGCATTTTTCACAACGTTGAACCCGTGAGAATGAAGATATAGATGCAAACCCTTTTGAACTTGAGATAAAGCAATCCAAATTCCTCGGTCTGAAACCGATGATTGTAGAAATCGTGCAGTATCGGGATTGCAACGGATTGGTACAGAAGCTGCAAACAGAGACGGACGATCACACATTGGTTCGGATAAGACATAACTAAAAGATGAGACAATACCAATAAGATTGCTCCAAAGTAGCTCCCGTATACGAAGGTCAGTCCCCCGAGTATCTTCACCACTATACTTACGGCCACGAGGTGTTTAACCTGTAGTATCAATAGCCGTTACTGATCACGTTTTCCACGAAATGTCGAAACAAGATCCAGGAGTTAGGGTTCTACAATTGAGACCTGATCAACTGAATAGCCGAATCTCGGTCTCCAGTAATCATCTGCAGCTTCCCAATTGGAGCTGAGTTCGATATAGCTAATGGAGCAATGAAGCCATTGTTAAAAGTTCAACCATTAAAGCTAAAAACTTACCCAAATTGTTCAGAATGTGACAACCTCGGAGACATCTTGATCTAACGAAACAAAGATTAAAACAACCTAGATGCTTAATCCTGATCCATCAGTCTGTTCTAAATGTGATCCATGATCATGATGAATCGTTGATTCTTTCATACATGATCGTGCATAAAATTTCGAAACCGTTCGTATTGAAATCGATTTAATAAGAGAGAGAGAGAGAGAGAGAGAGAGAATCATACTCGTTCCAGGCCGAGAGGAAGAAAGAGGAAGTGAAGAGTGTTCGACCAACAATGGCGATATGTGGCAAAGATGCGATCTTTCTTCCATATTTGTTGACCTTTCTCTGCACCACATCCATTTTCTTCCGACACCCAAAATTCTCCTGTCCTGATCACAGAAAACGACTACATAACCCAACCAAAACCTTGGAACAAACCTTAAAAAACGAAAGGATCAAATCGAACAAGTTGTTCTTGTTCTGTTCTTGTCTGTTTCCTGTGATTCGAGATTCAAAATCGAAAACCCAGGAAAAAAGTTGGAAACTTTCGAAATGGGATCGAGTCAATCCATGCAAACAACAACTTTGGTGAAGCGAAATAGCTGATTGTGAAAATTTTTGAAGGCAGAGAGCCTTACTCTTTTCGCTGATGAATGAGGAAGAACTGCAAACGGTCTTCCTTCTGAGGAAAGTGGGTATGCACTTTTGTTTTGGATATCTTTGAAGCTTTTAGATCTTTATTTGGAGGAAAAATTAATGTTTTTGACGTGGAGAATTAATTGTTTGAACAAATAAACACGAAAATAATCATAAAAATATATACATCTGCATTTTGCTTTGGAATTATACAGATATAACAGTCGTTGGAATTGGTAAAGAAGATAGGCTCAACGTGGAAAATATGTTATCGATAATTTCAATGATTTATGGAAACGCTCTAAAATATTATTTAAATAATTATTCTAAAATACGAAACAAAACATCCTTAAAAATATTCTAAAACGTTTGATAATGTTTTGCCATAATTAGGCACGATATAGGTAATCATACATATATATGTACGCATATACGACACCATACATCACTTTCTCCGGGCGGGTCGGGATGAATTTCCAAGTAATTTGTTGATCAATCATGTGAAAGCCCATGAGTGACAACTATACCAAATGATAAATATATTATTATTATTAAATTAAATACATTGATAATTTCCGAGTAATAATTAAATAATCATAGGGAAGCTCATAAATTTTGAAGATGTTGACTTTGAATACCCAGATCAAATTCTCACCTTCCTCGATGAGCCACTTGGTCTTTTCCTTTTATCACAAAAAAATTGGTCATTGTTTATTAAATCTATCAAATTCCTCTTCAATGGAAGATTTTTATTTGGTTTTGTTCATATAAAAAAGTCTATGCTTTTATAAATATCCTATCGCCCTCCTCCTCCTGCAACAAAAAGCATCGATCTTTCTGTAAATTTTCCCAAGAAAATAGTCTGCAAAAGCTCTGAACATCACTTCCAAGTTCATATCCGTCCACTTTGAAAGAGTAAGTGTCTTTATTTCACATTTTTTTTCCTTTTCTTTTTGTTTCTGATTGAATCTTTACAGTTACAGAGACACAACATGTTGAGATTGGTCGGTCCAAAGACCAAAGAAAAGATCCTTGATGTGATCTGCCAAAAAAAAAAACAAAAAACCATGCTTTCACTTCAGTTCAGACAAAGACATTATATTCTTCAGATGTGTATTGGAACAGATCATGAACACGCTATATACTAAAATCAAAATCATGTGAAAAACCAAGCTTTAGGCATTCAAGATTCATGTCTGAATGTTCAATCTTGAAACCTTCAAGATCATCATCAAGATTTCATCTTTCTGGTGTTTAAAAAAAAACCCGGTTTGTTTCGTAGTGGCGACGATAGGGAACGTCAAGAAAATCGTCTCGAGAGCGATATCGATCTCGATGCCAAGTATCGCCTTCTTCGGGAGACTCGTTTTCGCCTTTGTGTTCATCCTCTCCGCAATCCAAGCGTGAGTTTTTTTTTTTTTTGTGTGTGCGCTCATGATCGTCTCTGAATTCTCAAGAACATTTCACTTATTCTCTCTCGGATTCTCTCTCGTAAAGGTATGCCGAACATTACGGAGACGGAGGTCCGCTCGAGAAAACCGTCGGGCCGATAGTTAATGTCGTGACCAAACTCGGCTCGAAGGTTCTCACTTTCTTCACCGGAATGCAAGTGGTTTCTTTCGATGTACGTCTTCTCTTCCTCCTCCTCCTCCCCTTTCCGTGGTCGAAACCCGCGTTTTGAAATCGGTTTTTCGACTGAAAGTTTCGATCTTTATCGGCACCCGCGTCTCAAGATCGATCTCTTCTGCTAATCATGACGTTTTTCTCTCTCGTAAAAATGACAGGTGAGATTGCTAGAATTCACCTTCATAAGCGCAAAGGGGACTGCAGGCTTGTGGTTCATCTTTGGAGGGTCAATCCCTGCTTATTTCTTGGTATGCATCCATACAAAAACACCAGTTCGGATTTCTGTTTGATTCGGATTCAGACAGCCTCAAACCCGTGTTTCTGTATCGTGTCGTTCCAGCTCGTAACTCAAGTTATCTCCACGTTGATCCCCTTGCCGACGAACTCGCACGACTTCGCTCAGGTTAATCGCTGCTTTCATCGACCCTTCAGCCATTTCGACGAAATTCTAAATCATCTTAGGTTTGATACAATGGATTATATGTTTTTGCAGAACCTGACGCTTATCGGGGCACTGCTCTTCTACATCGGTTACAAGCACGCCATTGATGAGCTTCTTGAAGCAGAGAAGAAGAAGAAGAAGGAAGAGTAAGACAAGCCTTCAGATTCACATTGCTGTTTCCAAATCTCATCTATCAGACAACTCAGTTTGAGTTATGGACACTGTTTGTTCAGTTCATGTCTTCCATCTCTGCTGTCCATTTGCCTTTGGATAAACTTTTTTTTTTTTGGAAGAATGTCTATTACAGAGAAAGTAAAAAAAGTTTGGAACTGAAGTAGCTTCTCTCTAAGATCCAAAATCACACTACCAAAAACCAGAGAACTGCAACTCAGAGATTCAAGAAACTAAAGCAAAAACTAGCCTAGCTTCCGTACCCTCTTTAGATCGATGTGCCCATGAGGAAAACAGACTCACATTCCTGTCACAAGATTGATGAAAAGCCGAAATCCGATAAACCGATTCTCTTCTTCAGTTTGTTTTCGCTTTTGTGGACTTTTTCCTGGCTTGCCTTCCATGTTTCCTCGAGTTCTTCATCCCGATGAAGAGCAGCAATGCCCCAAGAAGAGCAAGGTTCTGAGAATTGAGAAAGAATATCAAGGTTTGGATCAAAGCTTTTAACCTCGATTTGATTTCGGTTGAAAGCATACACAATGAAAACAACGATCTGATTGCTAACCTGAGTGAACTTTGTGAATAGTAGACCGAATTCCTTTCTGTCAGCATCGTAGTTGTAGAAGTCATATAGTATTGGTGTGGATATGGCTTGATGCAGAAGCTGAACCGGGGGCATTCAACGAGTTAAGTGAGTTTACTCATTCGGTAAATACACAAAAGGTACATACAGTACAGCGGTGAAATGATATTATGATATACGTACCAACAGATAAGCTCCGAGGGAGCTGCCGAAGATGAAAAGAACCCCCCCGAGACCCTTCAGGGCTATAGCCGCAGCAACAAGATGCTTCATCTGTGAAAAATTTTCAAGTTCACCAAAGTTTGATGACATAAAAGAATGGAACTATCCATAACAGTAAAAGGGTATTTTCCGAATTTGGAAGTTAGTGGAAGAATTCTGAAGGGTACTAACATCGACCGGTGGCAGTTGCAACCCAGTGTGAGATGTGAAATGGCTTGCAAACGCATTGTATTTCGGTCTCCATGCCCTAGCGGCCCGACCACCCTCAGTGCCAAAATCATTGAACCTGATTACAGAAGCAGAAAGAGCGATGATTAAAGAAAGACAACGATAAAATGGCATCAATCTTATGTCCACAACAATAGATTACAGTCATCAGATTTGAAGCATATCTAAAAAAGGATCCATCGAGAGTGAACTTGATAAAACCGGCCCATTCCATTTCAGATATAGCATTGCCAAAGTAACATTAAGATATAATCTTTTCTCTCGATTTTGACCGCATCTTTGTGCAATCACTACAGATAAGGCAATAGCTCATTATTGGACCTGAAGTTAAACATGAAACCTAGACCATAAATACTCATGCCAAAGCTTGAATTCAGAAGCACAAAATCTAGCCGAATGATGGAACAGGAGAGGGACGAAAGTACAATCCCAAATCTACACATTACCGACATTCCAGTGTCCATGGAACAAATCAGCGAGGGACTAGTTCAACTAACAAACATGAAAGACATAGTTTTAATGAGGCAAAAGAAATGTGCAAAATGCCATAACTTTCATGGAATCAGACAGGGAAAATCTATCCAAAAATAGGCTATGGCGCTATTTTCCTGTCAAATCCAACACCAACAAAGCAAGCAAAATCCAAACTTTGCCATCATTGCCCCAAATTTGTTTTTTTTTTCTTCTCCAAGAAAACAAAACAGACCCAACTCGCTGAAATACAATAGAATTCCTGAAACAGGAAATCAAGCCAAAAATACCTAAAATCATTGAAACATCCTAAAAAACTTCAACTTTCCCCAGCAATGGAACATACTGAATGAAGTAAACCGATAAAAATCCAGAATTTCCAAGTTCCTAGTAACCAACTGGCACGCAATCGGAGACGAACCAGCAACTGGAGAGCTGAATCAAGGATAGGGTTCAGAGAGAACCAATACCAGATTTTTCCCCTATTACAAGACAGCCAAAGAGATCCGACACAACTAGTTGACCCTTGAACCAAGATTTGAACTTTCTCAGTAAACAAACAGACCTACAAGGAGAAAAGGAAACCCAAGAGAATTTTTTGCAGAAACAGAGCAGATCTAGAGACAGACAAAGAGAATCTACATCCGCTTACTCTTGCCAGGCGGAGAGAATGAACACGGAGACGAACAGAACTCTGCCGACGAAGGACGCGAACTCCATTCCTGCCTTTTTTTTTCCCCAACAGATCGCACAGACAAAGACGGATTTGGGTCCGAAATCAACAGGAGAAAGGAAGGAGAACACCAACAGCCGAAACTGAGATATAGACCTCGCGCGAGTGCGGAAGTACAGACTGTGTATTTGTGAAGAAATTGCCACGTGGACAGTTACACATAATTCGACCAATAAGATTCATCCAACAAAGAATTATTAAACACGTGGACCAATCAAAACCATAGTACGTAACGCTTTGGGCATTTCCTTTTTTGGGGGAAAATCAAAAGGACATTTTTCAATAAAAAAGGATTGAATAAGAAATCTCATAAATTACGATGAAATAAGGAAAGACAAAATATCATCTCCAAATTTCCGACATGTTGAAAATATTTCAGAGCTAAAGTTCCAAACTTTACAATACACAATACTAAAAATGTTATTCAGAGACCGTTTATTCCCATTCATATTTCATCAATCGTTACAAAAATTTAATATTTTGTCCCCCTATTTAGAGCTTAGGAGTTGCGAATATTCTGTTTTCCATTTTCAGCATCACACAAAGCTCAGGATACAGACTCTTCCTTATCGACGCGTACACGTCACCGCTCCATTTCTTCGACGCTAACCTCTCCCCGAGGCGCATCGTAGCCTCAACCACGCCCTCCGCGCTATCGTGCGCCGCCGAGTCCACGATCCCCAGCTGCGTCGCCTCCTCCCCTCCGATCTTCTTCCCGCTCAAAAGCAGCTCCCTCCTCGCCGCGCTCGACCCGATCTTCGCCCGAACCATCGTTGCGAAGTAATCAGGCATGGACAGCCCGATGTCCACCTCGCTCATGTAGAGGACGCCTCGGTCTTTCCTCATGAAGACGTAGTCGTGGCTCAGCGCCAGCATCAGCCCCGCGGCGGCGGCGTGGCCGTTCACGGCGGCGATCGTCGGCATCGGTAGATCCAGGAGCGCCGCGACCACCGGCTTGAAGGACTCGACCATGCCGTGGAGGCGGTCACGGGCGGCGGATGCGGATCCGGCGGCTTGGGCCCAAGCGAGATCGAATCCGTTGGAGAAGAATCGGCCGTGACCGGTCGTGATCAGGACGGATCCGCGCGTCGATTGGGATCTGGCTTCGGCGAGGAGCGAGAGGAGGGAGGTGATCATCGCCGGATTCAGCCGGTGCTCATCGTCGCCGGTGAGGGTGAGGACGAACAGACTGCCGCGCTTCTCTAACGTGCACATGGTGCGCACAACAAGGGATAAGAACTGAAATGCGAGACCTTATCTTTCCCCGTGTCAATATAAACTATTTATATGTTTGAGACAATTTCAGATTAGTCCTTGATTTATGTGTAATTACGGATATGATGGGGCTTAAGGTTTCAATTATTATTTTTGAGGGACAAATTTGAATTGGGCTTTTAATTCGATCCAACACAACAATTTCATGTAGGCATAATGTTACTGCTGGCTGATTTTAGCGTCAGAGGCCCGTGGGCTCTGTGCCATATATTTTGATATGTACAATTTTACATATAGAGATTAATTATGTAATTTCTTGAAATTCTCATCATATATTTAATTATTTATGGTTGAAATTTAAGGGTGGGTATTTCGATATAGTTTTTCGAAATCGTATCGAAATAAAAAATATAGTATTTTTTTAATTGAACTATTCAAAATTTCTAAACAATATTTTTTAGAAAATTGATTTTTCAGAACCGAGTTTGAACGATTTTTTTAGAAAAATAAAATTTCTAAACGATCCGAAACTGAATTGGATATGGTATAATAAACGATTGATATATATTTTTGTAAAATTGAAAAAACAAACCAAATCATTCTAAACCGAATCCGAACCGAATACCGAAATGTTAATTGAAACTTTGTGCCTTTTATTTGTGCAATAACTGTAGATGTTCTAGGAGTTTACACGTCACAATTGAGATAATGGTTTTATCAAATGGACCGACGTATGCTCCCAAAGCACGTAAAGTACCTCACAATTTCTATATTGAAACTTTTATATTCGACTGACGTGTTAATCGATAATAAATAATTTATTTAAACAGTCAAAATCTGGCGGTGGAGACCCACTGGTTAAATATTGGGCCCCACTCTGGTCGTTGGCTTCTGATAAAAATTAATCATGACGTTATTATCCATGATTTATTTAATTTTATCACAGAAAATCAAACGGAGATTATAGTAAATTAAGCTATAGATTAATAAAAAGTAAAATACCTTTGGCTTTGGATTTATTTAACAAAAACTATACGTAGAAAAGGAAAAATATTTTTACACACACATATATATCTTATGGTCTCGTATGAATAAATATTAATACATATATATATAATACAAAATGGTCATGGATGTTATAATAGTTGGGTTAACGGTCATTAGACAGTTTAACTAACGATGACCACTAACACAATGTGACATTATATTATCCCCTTCTCTTATTTAGTAGGAAAATCTCAAAAAGATGTTTAAACTTTTCAATTTTTTCAAAACAAAATCTAAGCTTTGTTTTTTGTTAAATAAAATCTCAATTTTAATTTTTTAGTCGAAAATAAATTCAAACTTTATAATCATTATCATTTTTAAATCTAAATACTGATATAATATACCGATATACTTTGTGATAAATCAATAATTTAATCATATTTAACATATCATCATTCATATATCTACGCCACATCAAGGCAAGGATGGATTTAAATATGACAATAGTTATAAAATTTAGATTTATTTATAATTTAAAAATAAAATTAACATTTTATTTGATAAAAAAATAAAGATTTTTTTTTGGGATTTTTCCTATTTATTCAATAAATTCGATTTTTTTCAAAGAAGAGTTATAAATTCAGGATTTTCTCTAGTTTGTTGGTAGATTTCCGGTCAAAGAAAAAAAATATCCAAAGAATTAATTTCTTTTTAAAGGAGAAACAGCTAATTTTTGCCTCTTTCAAGTTTCAAGCTTTGACCGTCTTGGAAGATTCTACTCCACATGTTCCTATATATATAGTCACAACATACACACTCACCTCTACATATACACACACACATACACCCATACACACAGATACCACAAAAAAAATAAAAATAAAAATCCAAACTTGCCCATTTTCTCTCAGATTTAGCCTTTTGATTTGTCTGATTGAATCCCAAAAGGGTTTTCTACGAAAATCACCTTCTTGTTTCATGCCCATGTTCCCAACGCCGTCGCCGTCGCCGTCCTCGCCGTCTCAGGCGAAAACCAGCAGCTCTCGGCCCGGTAACCGCCGGGAACCGAGCCAGCTTCAGAGACGAGCTCCGCCGCTGAAGATCACTCCGGCGAAGGCTGGTGCCTGGAACGCCGCCATCCCGCTCCTATCCCCGCTCGTTACCCCGCCCACGGCGGCGGTCGACCAGCTACCGTCGCCGCCGAAGCCGCCGGAGACGGAGGATGCTGAGGCGGAGAAGATGCCAGTGTTCAAGAAGTGGCAGCATCCGGCGGCGCCGTTTTATTACGAGACGGCGCCGTTTGTTCGGCCGTTTGTTCCCGTTTGAAAATGCTTTGGAAAGATCTAACGGTTCAAAAGCACATTTTGGGTTTGTTTTTAATTTATTAAATTTAACATTTTGTAAATTTAACGGTCCAACGAGCGCGTGTAAATTCTGTAAATCGAGGAATAAACGAACGTCGCGCGTAGCTAATTTATCAATTTCAGTATTTTATCTGAAAATTTAAATTCTATTTTTTTTTTATGTTTTGTGTAACAAAACTAGTAAACAGTCGGATTAAAATACTTATTTGCAGCTACTGAACTGAGATTTCATTCGGGCCTGTTAACTTGGGACCCGTTAATGATAATAGTCGTAGCTTATTACCATTTTCAAATATATTTTGGGCTATTTAACGATTATTGGTCCAACAGTGGAATTTATGTGTTTTTCTCTTTATTGATAATGGGCCTAATTTCTGATTTTTGGGCCTTCATTAAAGTTGGTGTAATTTTATCCGTAGGGTTGTGTGTATATTTATAAATATACATATAATTTGAGAATTTATGTATTTAGTTCACGTATTAACACGGGATTACCCCTCATAATATTACATAAATAGAGCAATCCTAAACAAAAACATCCATTCAGTTTACTGTGTTTTTGACCTAAATACATCTTTTAAAAAATAGTTTTTATTCCACGTAAAAAAATATGCAGATAAAAGAATATAGTTGGGGAAAAATGTATATTTACTTAATTGTCCATTAATTTATTTAATTATTTACACAGTCTTATCTAATCGCCCCAACAGAGATAACATAAATTAAACTAAGAATGAATGTTTTCGGCAGTCGGTCGCATTAGTAAAATAAAGATGTAGAGATGCGACATGTGAAAATGGTCCAAAGGGAATCCACCTAAACGTTGGACCAAATATTAAAAGAATGGAGAAAATTGCTACTATATATATATATATGTATGTATGTATGTATGTATATCGTGGAGGGGGGGGGGGGCAAAACCAAAAAGATGAGGAACAAGATGAGTAGTGCCATTCACTAACCATCCAAGCCTTTAGGGTTTACTCATATAATCGCCAAAACCAAAAATAATATTATATGGAAATTATTACATAAGCCCCTTATAACCACATCAAGTGCGGTTCAAGATTTTGTAGAAATTATTTCAATTATATGGACCCGTATCATATTCTTTTACAAAATGTAAATTTGAAGGTAAGTATGATTTTGGTGGGAATATCAAAACATTTACCATATGAAAGTATTTAAGGATACAATACATATATATATATATAAATATATATGTGTGTGTGTGTCTTTTTTTTTATGGATCTTAAACATTTATTCATATATTTCTTATTATTTTCTCATTTACCATAAAGTTTCAAATAAAACAGTCCAAAAAGAGAAAAGAGAATGGAGAATTTTGGTGGCAACAAATTGGAAGGACCATTCACTACCCGTTTTATATTCTCTACAAAAGGCAAATGAAACTGCAAAGCACAAATTTTGCATGCAAACTGGCGGGAAAATTGCTGACGTGTAAACCGGTCTTTCTTCATTCTTTTGATATATATTCCCTTAACCGGCCATTCTTCATCTTTTTCATTTTTTAAAAAACTATTTTAGTCTATAGGTTGTTTACGTTTCTTCTCCACTTTGGAAAGAAGAAGAAGAGAAAACTCCGAAACTCAGTTTGTATTTTGTCTAATCAAATTGTTTGAATTTTATGGATTTGTTTTTATATTTCACAAAATTTATAATCCTTCTTTAGAGATATATATTACAATTGCATATAACATGGAACACATGAGATTCAGTGGAATAAGATTTTAATTTTTATTTTTTTTATATGTATAATAATGAAAAAAAAAAGTTTAATGGAAGAGTTTGATTGGGATTCGTCTTTTCCCCCTTTTTGTCTCCCTGTGTTTTGTTTGTTGTTGCAAGAGTCACCAACTCCCACTACTAAACCCATTTAAAACGCCCTCCCAAAATTGCTATATTCCCAAAACATTCTAAACGCAAACTAACAAAAAACCAAAGCTGTCGAAAATTAATACTTAATGAATTTACTTGTGGTGGTGGTTATACCAATTTTAATTTATTTTATAAGGTCCGTTATTTTCGTAAACAAGGGTTTTGACAGAAAATGAACAACTATTTTATTCAAATAGTGTACTGTTAGAGTTTTACATAGCGTAAATAATTCGAGATGGATATTAACAAATGATAAAGAGAAAAAAAGTTATAAAGATTTACGTGGAGATCCAAATAAAAAAAAAACTATAAATAGAGGAAAAAAATTTACTACAAAGAACGAAATAGAGGTCTTAACATAAAATACAAATCCAACAGATCGTGGGCAATTGGTCAAATTTGGGGTAGGAGGTAATTCCACTACCTTGAATTTGAGTGTTCGATTCCTGGTGGAAAGGGAAGTAATTTCTAGGTTTATATGATCCATATAGCTCCCGGATCGAAGGTTTACCTAGTCAGCACGACGTTCGAAGGGTAACAGTCAGGGTCCTCCGTTATAAAAAAAACATAAAATACAAAACGGGGAAAACCAGGAAAAAAAGATATGCAATTATATCCAAATATAAAGTGAACAATTACTATAAAATCTAGAAGATACAAAATGGAATTTGGATTACATTCTCAATATATATTTGTAATTTATTGATAATGTGAGTGTTGATTGGTTTGAAAACAATGCAATTATGCATAAAAATTCCGTGTTGAAAAAGGTTTCATGATTTTGAGACCAATATTCCAAGTGGGTCAACGGAATGATTCGTGTGAGAAATTGTTGCGAAAATAAGTGTTGATTTTTCAAAGGGTTTTTTGTGACTGTGATTAGGTCATATCCTCTCTCGAGCTTGACCAAAGTGGAGACAAATATCATTTAGTCAAACTCTTTTTGTCGTCGAGAATATACATATATATATATATATATGCATATAGTGGTCGTTGTTTCCAATATAATGGGTTTCATCATGTAATGTCTTTTTTTTCCTAGGTAATAATAGGGTGTTTTTTTTTAATAGGGAGTATTTTACTTTATATATTTTAGCTAGAATTGAAACTTGAAAGCATAATTGATACAAATAAATTTACATATGCGTATTTTTTGGGAAAGAAGAAACAAAATTTTAAACTATTTGATTTGACTTCGTAAGAGTTTTGAGTAAATAAATATAAATTGCTAAAATGGGAAGAACATTAGAGGAGCAAGTACGTACGAGCAGATTCAACCACTTTCAAAAAACCAACCAACCAATCTCTCTCTCTCTCTCTCTCTCTCTCTCTCTCTCTCTCTCTCTCTTTCTCTCTCTCTTTTGAAAACCAAATCCAAAGCTCTGGTTTTTTCAAAAAAAACTCTCTCTCTCTCTCTCTACAACTACAAGAAGCTCGTGAGGTTGGTCCAAAGTTTTCTCTCACGAATCTATTTCTTCCTCGTCTTCCTCTCCGCGTTTCCAAGAATCTGATTTCTCTGAGCTTCACGCTGAATTTCCATCATACCCCATCAATGGCGTCCTTCTTATTGCGCCGTGATAATCGCCAATGATTATCCCAGTTTCATGCGCGATTCCCACTTCTCTCTTCGTTTCTCGCAAAAGGGTTTCATCAAAAACCTTTCTTTTTTCGGATCTATTGATGGGTTTTCATCACCCGTGAGGGAGAATATTCTTCGAGGGTTAAAAAGAAATTTCTGGTGTCGCCATGGTTGCAGAAGCTTGGATTGTCAAAATGGGTAACCAGGTGAGTGCGAATCTCAAGCACGTCCTGCTTCCTGAATCTTCCAACAAGAAGAACCCTAAAATCTCTGCCCCCAAGCAGACAATCGGTATTCTCTCCTTCGAGGTTGCTAATGTCATGTCTAAGACCGTACATCTTCATCGTTCCCTGTCCGAATCCGAGATCTCGAGGCTTAAAGGCGAGATTTTTCGGTCGGAAGGGGTCAGAAATCTGGTCTCCGCCGACGAAAATCGCCTCTTTGAGCTTACCCTCGCCGAGAAACTCGACGACCTGGACCGTGTCGCTGGCGTAGTCTCTAGGTTAGGGAAGAAGTGTACAGAACCGGCTTTGCAGGGATTCGAGCATGTGTATGATGATATAGTGAATGGGGTTATCGATGTTAGGAGATTAGGGTTCTTGGTGAAAGATATGGAGGGTATGGTGAGGAAGATGGAGAGATACATCAATGCTACCTCTAGTCTGTATTGTGAAATGGAGGTCATGAACGAGCTCGAACAGGCCACGAAGAAGTTTCAGCACTGTCAACACCAAGATAGCCGTAAAGCTTTCGAGCAGAAGCTGATTTGGCAGAGACAGGACGTGAGGCACCTCCGAGAGATTTCCCTCTGGAACCAGACATATGACAAGGTCGTGGAGATGTTGGTGAGGACTGTCTGCACCATCTTTGCCAAGATTTGTACTGTATTCGGCGATTCAGCTTTGAGGAAAACCGGTGTTGGTTTTGTCAGGGAAGGTTCTTCCCCTTCAAAGGATGCTGTTCCTTTGTCTCAGATTGATAGAAACTGTGATGGGTTGAAGAGAGTTCATAGCAAGAATGAGGTTAAGTTGAATTCAGGGTCTAGTTTTAAGCATCGGATAGATTCTCATAGAGGCGATGTAGATCAGTTCAATCGTGCAGGAGATTTCAATTTCCCTTGTGGGACGAATCCGGGGAGGTTATTCATGGAGTGCCTTGCCATGAACAGTTCTGTTTCTAGAATAGATGACAATGATGATGATGATGACGGTGGCGGTGATGGTGATGGTGAGAATGATCATAGCAGCCAAATCTCCAGCTGTTGCAGTGTGGCAAACAGCGGGTTAAAGAAAGATCGATCCGACGATTCTTGCTTTAGCCACACCCGCATTACCATGCCTCCTGCTGCCACAGTTCAAAGACAGCGAACTAGTAAGCTTGGTCCGAAAACCAGGCTAATGAGTTATGCCCTGCCTTCCTCCATTGGCGGCTCTGCGCTTTCTCTGCACTACGCTAATGTGATAATCGTCATAGAGAAGCTCCTCAAGTACCCTCATCTGATAGGCGAGGAAGCAAGGGACAACCTTTACCAGATGCTACCGACGAGTCTGAGAACCTGTCTCAAGACAAACCTCAAGTCCTACTTCAAGAACATCTCGATATACGACGCCCATCTCGCCCACGACTGGAAGGAAACCCTAGACGGGATTCTCGGGTGGCTCGCCCCGCTCGCCCACAACATGATAAGGTGGCAGAGCGAGCGGAACTTCGAGCAAGAACAGATAGTGAAGCGAACCAACGTGCTTCTGCTTCAGACGCTGTACTTTGCCGATCGAGACAGGACGGAAGCCGCCATCTGCAAGCTTCTTGTCGGGCTGAACTACATCTGCCACTACGAACAGCAGCAGAACGCCTTGCTGGATTGCACCAGCAGTTTCGATTTCGAAGACTGTTTGGAGTGGCAGCGGCAATGCCGTACAGGTTACTTCGATTGATCAATCCATCCATGGAGGTGAGTCTCAGGAAAAAAAAAAACACAGTCAGTGTTCTTAGTAGATACAAAAAACAAAAACATGTATTATGAAAGAGAATGTGAATAGGGTAGGCTCTTTTGCAACAGAGGAAGCTTTTGACTATATTCCTTGAACATTCAATTGAATTGTGTTCCATTGTTGCAACTTTGATACTAAAAAAAAGGATAATAGCTTAAAAAATCACTATTTTTTAAAAAAAATTTATATAAAATCATGAATTTTATAAATGTTATTATATTCACATATATTCATTAATTTTCGGATTTTTAATTTTGTGAGAATATGACAAGATTAACGAAGCTCATGATTTCATATGGAATTTTTTTTTTTAAAATTTTGTAAATTTTTAGATTATTATTCCTAAAAAAATATGTTCCACTAACAGAAAATTTTGAAAATATATGCTTTCTTGTGTGGAAATTTTTGGACAGTGTATAACACAATGTAAGGACAAGTAGAACATGTTTTCTTTGAATGATGGTGTAAATATATTATATGGTTGAACATATAATAGTATTACTAATAGCACCTACCATTATGGAAGTAGGTGGGACTATTTGGTGATGTCATTTAATCACAGAAATTGGTAGAGCAGTGCATTCAATTTTGTGTTTCCCACACTATTTTTTTTGTGTGAATAAAATTAAAATTGGCATTTTTTTTTGTTTGGATGTGGTTGAAATTAGTGCACACAATTTTGCACTTCCGTTTATTTATTGTCAATTTTTCGTTTTTAAAAACATTTAATTCGACTCAATTTTATTTTTTATTTAATAAATATTATTTTATAAATTACATTTCTTTCGAATTAATATTTAATTTTAAAAAAAAAGTAATCTCTACTAGGTAGATAGAATTACATTGAGGTATAATTATATTACATTTAAATTTCTATATCCAAGCGAAAACAGTTGTTAGAAGAGTATAGAAAAGATCGAAAATTTTGAGTGTCGTTTGACCTGTAAATACTCGAAACTTGAATAAATAATTTTACTAAATCAAAACTTGGTAAATTAAATAGATTTTTTAAAAAAAAACTAAAGGAGAACAATATCGAAATCTAATTCATAAAAAAAAATGAGATGATTTTCACATGCTGGATGTCATTACATTAGTAATGAATAAATGATAATTGAGTTTCCATGAAGAAAAGCTACAAAGAAAAAAAAAAAATTGGAATTTCATCATCTAATTCACTTTCTCCAAAAGATTTCATTATTTGGGCTGGGCCTTTACAAAGCCCAATTGGTCCTGCTTTAGGCCCTGAAAGCCCAAAAGTGTTGGTTTTCTTGAAATTGATTCTCTCTTTAAAGTCGTTTTCTTGATTTTTGAGTTTGAAATTGTGGGTTTCAATCTGATAAAAAAGAACAACATTTTGTTTCTACATTCCAATGTATTCTGATTATGATAATATGTAATGATTCAGACACTGCAACATTAGAAGAGGAAAAAAAAAACAAATTATAGAGAGGACAAGGGCTCGTGAAGAGACGGATGAACACACGATAGATACATCTTTCTTTGTCAACGATCTTGATTGCAAATCTTGAAAACCCTCGCGCCACTGTTTGATCTCACGTTGACCTCCAACTCTTCTGCAAATATGTATGTATGTATGTATGTATGTATGTATGTATGTATGTATGTATGTATGTATGTATGTATGTATGTATGTATGTATGTATGTATGTATGTATGTATGTATGTATGTATGTATGTATGTATGTATGTATGTATGTATGTATGTATGTATGTATGTATGTATGTGTTAGCATTGGGAAAACTTTGAACTTCGACGTGAAAGCTACCGAAAAATTCATTTTGACAGTTTAATCCGCGTAAGACAGACGTGGTAATATATGGGTTTGAAATTGAATTAGATTCCATTTACCAAAAACGAAAAAAAATTGAATTAAAATCGAATTTAATGTACTAATAAATTTGTTGATGTATACATACCTATATACTACTCATAAATGCAGTTATAATTATATGAAATGAATAAGGAATTGAGTTGGATCCAACTCTATAAGAAGAATGTGAGGAGTTAAGTCCAACTACCTAATGAAGAAATTATGGCCAAAGAGTATAATCAATTAAGTCAAAGCCGTGCCATTTTTTAGTATTAATTAAAAAAAACAACTCGATAAGCTAAGTTGTCTTCTTTTGATCCCAAGAAAAATAATTTTTTTGAGCGAGTAGTCCACGACTTCTGCGACGGAAGTCAGGAGCTTCTTGGGACTAGCCGGTTATTACCGACGATTCGTCGAGGGATTCGCCAAGATCGCTCGACCC